GCCCCTTCTCTGCTTTATGACATGTAAAAGGGGGCTAGATGGCTGGCCCAGAATAACTCTGTCAGAAGGGAGCTCACCATATGTAGCACCAGTAGAATAGGGTAAAATAGCACACACCCAGATATTAAGTTACTACAACCAGTGCTATTAATGTGGGAAGCAGGAGAGTCTTGCTCCTTCTCCCATTGACTTTAATAAAAAAAAGTTTGAACCCATGTCTTGATGACATGTACTCCCAGAATTCTAATCCCCACTCTGACACTTACTCCCTTTATGGCCTTGGCTAACTCACTTAACTATCATTTGCTTTACTTCCCCCATCTGTCAAAGGAGAGACATAGCATTTATGTCTTGTCTATGCAGTATCTTGGGGGGAGGGGTGGTTACGTTTATTTGACACCAGCATGTCATATGCTAACTGATCTATGTAGATCCTGATGGCATGCACTAAAAGTTTGAAATGACAGATTAACCCTTTCTGTTGTCCTGGGCAGAGATTATAAATGTTGCCTCTCTAACCTGATCTGCTTAGCAGAAGGAAATAAAAAGCTTGTTCCCACCTGTGAAAGGGGCTGTATTTCTGGGAAACGACCAACATACCCAGGACAGCGATGCCAATAAAGATACAGTCTAGATAGCAATGTATAATACCACTGCTGTCCTGAATACATTGCCTGTTTGCCAGAGCTAGAACAATTCATTTATATTTACTAGTGCTGGGGGAACGGTTCATACTTGTGATGGGTGGGAGAAAGGGAACTTGCTGCACAGCTGATGTGCAGAAAGCAGCTGGTTTTTGTATTATGGAAACAAAATACCGAAGGATATCCCTGTGTCAAATACCACTGCCTCTCGCTATGAACAGCTTCCTGGTCCTCAGGCGGGAATTTCCCCATTTTCTGGGAACTGTGAGTGACTGCATACCAGGCTATCCAGAACGGCTTCACCCCCTTAGCACAGTCTTTCCTCAATCCCCACCATGCTTTTCTTGAAACTGGCCCTTTAAATCCAGGAGAAATGAGCAGCTGTTGCTTTTAGGTGGCCATTTTGTAGCTGACCTCTGTAGTTTGCTCTCCTCTCTGACAATTGGTGAGTATTTTTAGCACTCATTGTTTTCCCTTTTTGGTGGCAAGTTCTCACTGTCATTGAATGGATTTTGGTTTTCTCCAGTGCACAGCTTGTTTTGAAAGGGCGGTGGCTTGCATGAGCTTATTTGCAACCTTTTGTATATCACTGATGTCTGATTGCCATAGTCATGTTAAATTGTCAGGTGAATGAAATGTCTATGTATCCTTTCATCCTTGATTTAAGTACTGGCTGTATTAAATATACAGTTCCAGTCCAATTCCCAGAACCCTGGCACACAGGTACTCTAATATTTCACCGTCTTGGCCCATAGTTTAATAAATTACTGTTTTATGGCAATATTGTGTGAACTCATTAATATCACAGGATTTTGAAGGTGAAAAGTGCTATGTAAGTTTGAAGGTGAAAAGTTGCTCTGATCCTGCCAACACTTATACACGTGCTTAATTTTACACTGTGAAAGTAGAAGGTGTAGCCAACACCAAATCAATGGAACTACATGCTGTAGTAAATTTACGTACCAGTATAAGGGTATGATGACTGAGCTTAAGAGTTCTTATCAGATCTGTCAGGAAGTTTTTTGACAAAATATTTTTTCATCTGAAAATGCTGACTTGTCAACACTGAAATATTTTGCAGGGAAGGGTTGGTTTCTATGAATTTCTCATTTAAAAAAATGTTTGGAAAAAATATCAAGATTGTTTAATTGTCCTTTTCCAACCTCTTAAAAATGAAAAGTTTCCATTGCAGGGTGGTTGAAATTTTTGTTTTGTTTTGTTTTGTTTCAAAGTTTAAGTTTCTTTATAGTTTTAAAAGGACAAAATCAAAACATTTCAAAACTATCACAACAAAAACATCAGTTTGGCTCATTATGAAATGATTTTGGCTGAGATGGTTTATGAAAATATTTGAGATTTTGAATTTTTGTCCCAATTGAAGACAGGAAAAAAATTCAAAATCTTGAAAATTCTGAAAGGAGGGGAAACTGTTTCCTACCCAGTTTTAATTATTACACTAGCAAGATGGGAATTAACTAACTTCATCGTCTGTGCCAGGCAGTTTTCCATGAATTGGCTGGTACTGTGTGTGTGTGTGTGTGTGTGTGTGTGTGAGAGAGAGAGAGAGAGAGAGAGAGAGATACTGTATGTACAAACTGGGGTGTGAGTATTATTGATTGGAGTAGGCCACCTGTAGTGTGTGTGGATGGTCTGAAATATCCATATGGTTTAATATTATTACAGCTACTAATAATTTGTTGCTCTTATGCAGCAACTTAAATTAGCTTTAATTTTAGTGGAAAGGTGCATTTTTAACCACAGGATTCTGTGTCCCCAAAGGCTGAGAGTCCATGATGCCCCTGGATCAGCTATGTGGAGAACATAAGCACTAGTTATCTGAGCCCTTAAAAACTCAGGCTGCAATTCTGGCCCCACTAAAGCCCAGGGGTATGTTTGCTTTCTGAGCTGGGGATGTGATTCTCAGCTGGAGAGAACATCCCCATGCTAGCTGTAATCAAGCTAAGGTGTTCAAACCAGAATGAAGCCACAGTAGTCCAAGCAGTGTGAGATGCTAGCCTCCTCAAATCCCTGCTTGTCTGATGCGAAGTGTGCTCTCAGAACTGCTAGCCCCATCCGTTGCTTGCACTGCTGTGGCCATTTTCTATTTTTAGCACACTAGCTTGATGGGCCCTAACATGGCCCTAAATGGGGAACAGGTTTAAAACTAATAAAAGAAAGTTCTTCTTCACACAGCGCATAGTCAACCTGTGGAACTCCTTGCCAGAGGAGGCTGTGAAGGCTAGGACTATAATAGAGTTTAAAGAGAAGCTAGATAATTTCATGGAGGTTAGGTCCATAAAAGGCTATTAGCCAGGGGATAAAATGGTGTCCTTGGCCTCTGTTTGTCAGAGGCTGGAGAGGGATGGCAGGAGACAAATCACTTGATCATTGTCTTCGGTCCACCCTCTCTGGGGCACCTGGTGCTGGCCACTGTCGGCAGACAGGATACTGGACTAGATGGACCTTTGGTCTGACCCAGTACGGCCGTTCTTATGTTCTTATGTCCTCAAGCGGAGAATCTCCCTCCCCAGCACAAAGCAGAGACACATCCAGCATCAAAATTTCTGCGGACTTAGACGGGGCCAGGATTTTAACCAGGCTTCTGTCACAACACTTCTAGTGCAGCAGGCAAGTGCACGTCTCGGCAGAAGTACGCATCCACATTGTTTTGTCAATTCTCCTTCTTTGAATCCGATTAGGGCACATGAATAATTGAATATCTCTGTGGCGCTTCTGCATTGCAGGAGAATCAAGCCGTAAGCCCCCTTTTGTGTGCTAGATAAAATTGGTTCAGGATTCACAAGAGTTCAGCAATGTACCTGTGGGCATTTTAATTCCCATCCTTGCTATTTTTTGTTTACTCCATTCCCTAAAAGTGTCTCATTTTGGAAATTGCTGCTGCACATTTAAAAGCGAGGGATGACTTTTTTGCTGCCTCTTTTTCCCACTGAGGAAACCATGAAGTACCATCATGGGAGAGGAAGCAAAAAGCTGATGTCCTTGGTTTCCAAAGTCATCAAAGCCTGGATCCTTTGAAAATATTCTGTGGGTTGGCTATTGTTGTCCTAGTTGTTTACAATCCTTTCTCGATGCTTATGTCTGTTTCTCACACTGATGTGAACTGTTTCCGACTTAACTAAAGGCACTTCTACACAGCAGGGCTAAAGCTAAAATAAGCTACCAGCTTGAGCTATGTCAATTGCGTAGCTTAAGTCAAAATCGCTTATTTCGGCTTTTGGCACTGTCTACACAGAAGGAAGTCCGAGAGAGAGCACTCTTCCTCCGACTTCCCTTACTCCTTGTAAAATGAGGGTTACAGGAGTTGGAGTAAGAAGTCCTCCAGCTCGGCATTGTCGAAATAACTGCTTGTCGTGTAGACACGGACTACGTTATTTTGGAATAATGTCAGTTATTCTGAAATAACACTGCTGTGTAGACAGCCTACATGAGCCAAAACATAGTGGCTATATCTAGACTGGCCAGTTTTTCCGGAAAATCAGCCACTTTTCCGGAAAAACTTGCCAGCTGTCTACACTGGCCACTTGAATTTCCGCAAAAGCACTGACTTCCTACTGTAAGAAATCAGTGCTTTTTGCGGAAATACTAATGCTGCTCCCATTCGGGCAAAAGTCTCTTTTGCGCAAAACTTTTGCGCAAAAGGGCCAGTGTAGACAGCTGAGATTTGTTTTGCGCATAAAAGTCCCAATCGCGAAAATGGCGATCGGGGCTTTTTTGCAGAAAAACGCGTCTAGATTGGCACAGACACTTTTCCGCAAAAGCACTTTTTGCGGAAAAGTGTCTGTGCCAATCTAGACGCGTTTTTCTGCAAAAAATTTTCACGGAAAACTTTTCCGTGAAAAGCATTTCCGGAAAATCATGCCAGTCTAAATGTAGCCACAGAGGAGAAAATCCAGCCTTAAGAGGTAGTGTAACAAGAGATGACTGACTGTACATATAGCTCTCCTGAGACGCTTTGCTGATGCTGCTGAGTATATGAAGCGCTGGGATACTCAAGAACTACCTATTTACTTCCTTTCCTCCCCTACCACCACCAATCACTTCTCTTTCTCTCTGCCCTCCAACCCTGGGACAATCTTCCAGCAACTCCATTGTGTGTGTTTGAATGGCTGAGGGAAGAATGTTCTTGTCTCACTAATCCGAACTCTGCTCATCTCCAGCTCTTGAAACTGGACTGGCGCCGAGTAACCAGGCAATGAAAGTGTGAAAGTGTTTGAGTAAATTCAATATGGATTTTAGTTTTTTAACTCAATGGAGTATTACAGTGCCGATAGCATTGACATGCCCTCTACCAATGCAGATTAACAATAGAGTTTGTACAATGAAGGATCTTATAGATCAGCTTCGTACATTTTTTTTTATTCAGTAACTAAAGGAATCCATTGCTTTGCTGAAAAGTTAATTAGAACACCAGCAGTCTGTTTGATGGATGGACCCAGAAACTGTGTCCACATGGCATATCAGTGCAATTAATTTGGTTTGCTTCTGTGTTGATTTCAGGCCTCTGTCCTGCAAACCCTTATTCACACCTTGCAGGATCAGGCCCCTGGAAACCTTTCTTCTTGTCCGTCAAAGTCAAGCGTTGTCGATTCCCTCTCCTCCCACCCCATGGAAGGAGAAACGGAGTTTCAAATCCTGAAGCTGTAGTTTGCTCATTCTACCCTTCTCAACACATATGTGTCTGTTAATGACAATGCATGTGACAGACCTTTTTATTTACAACATAATTCAGTCCTCAATGTCAAAGCCTTATGGGTCAACAGGATTGGGCCCAGCAGGATTGGGCCCTCATCTGTAGCCGTGATTTCGACAGTCACTCTTGCTGACAGTCTTTTCATTTTTTGCTTTTAAATATTTGTCAGAGGAAATGTTTTCTATTGTCACGGTTAAATTACTGAAGTGTCTTTTCTCCTAACTGCGTTTTCCCTCTTCTTATTTCCTCTCGACTCCTGGAACCCGAGCAAGCCATTTATTTGCATCCAGTTCCTTAATTATACCTTCTCCACTGAGATTGCATTCGTGTCATTGGTTTAGTATTTTCATTTACTTTTTATTTTTAATCTTGCAAATTGACTCCAATGAGGGTGGCTGCATGCCAGCCATGAAAATAATGGGAGTGGAGACAGAAGTAATGAAATAAGTCTCACCGAGGAATGAAACCGATCTCTGCAAGCAGCGAGAACACGGCACACAACAAATGCTGGTGGCAGACTCTGTTTCTTTAACCATACAGGGTAGGGTTCGACCTCCCTGGTCCGGCACTCTTGAGACCTGGCTGGTCCCAAATGAGGGATTTTGCCAGACCGGGGAGGTTATACCTGGCCGTCCTGCTACCAGCCCCCTCCAGCCCTGGCCTGGATGCTGACCTCCCTGCTGTTCTCCCTCCCCACTTCCGCCAGCTCCCCTGCCCAGCTGGTTCACCCCTCC